TTTTCCTCCCAGATTGACAAATCACATGTAAACTAGTAGCAAAACTCTTGAATAGTCGTAGCCTGCATATCGCTCAGGGCGATGGGTCAGGGTAAATAAATACAACTCAACTCAACTCAACTCAATCACTCAATCGACTCATAACCAGATTGACAAATCACATGTAAACTAGTAGCAAAACTCTTGAATAGTCGTAGCCTGCATATCGCTCAGGGCGATGGGTCAGGGTAAATGAATACAACTCAACTCAACTCAACTCAAAGCTGCACGTCATAACGTCGAATCGAACGCTAGCCTTCTTTCGGCGCTAGTCAAGCTCCGAGACAATCCTTCACCTCTCACCCGCCCGCTAGAATCTCCACGACACCACTCCACCCCTCTTCGCCCAAAATTTTTTTCCCTTGGTCTCTCCAAGTCACGACCACCAGCCCACAGGGCATCTCTTCCGTTGAGCTCGCGCCAACGATGCTGCAGTCTACAACAAGGTAAGCTATGATGCCGCGTCCGCCTTGACCTCAGCTAACAGAAGTCGGTTGCAGAGCTCAGGCTCTTGTCAGAAAACCCGAGCTTGCTGAATGGACTGATACGTCGGCACCAGATCCGCGAATGCTCGTGTCAAGTCCCTTTGCGGAGGGTTCGGTCGGACATCTAATTAATATTGCGTCTTTTTCGGTAAGCTACAAAGTCGCGTCTGCCTTGACTTCAGCTACTAACAGAAGCCCATAGCAGAGCCCAAGGCTCATGTCAGGAAGCAAGTTTACTAATTCTAGGGCGTCATTCAGAGGCTCCAACAAACAGATGCTTCTGAAACCAGAGAAGCCGGAGGTCTTCTACGAAGACAATGACGACATTCCCGCCGAGGATGATGAAGGGCAGAAGATGTCAAAAAAGACGGGCGACAGCAGCAGAACAAGCTGTCGATTGCAGAGCTCAAAGCTCTGGTCAGAAAACCCGAGCTTGTTGAATGGACTGACACGTCGGCACCATCCGCGAATGCTCGCGTCCATTAAATCTCATCGCAATGTCGTGCCCGCCCCCGGACACTGGTCGCTTGAACGCGAGTATCTCTCGTCGAAGCGCGGTACCGCTCTTGCGGTTAGGGATGGATGGCGTGAGAATCTCCGTATGAACATGGGCCCTGTGTGGCCGGCAACGACATTGTCCTGGCAAAATGGAAGTCTAGCGACAAGGGCTTCTACCCGGCCAAGATTCCGAGCATTACTGGCGCCTCAACCTCATCCATGTACCACATAAAGTTCACTCAGTACTCTGGAACCGAACGCCTTGAGGGCCATGAGTGCCTGGCCGGGGGTGAGCCGCCAAAACTCTACATCCTGGTCGAGGGCGAGACCGAGGACTACGTTTAGGGAACACCAGGTAAGCCAACACGCCCTGTCTCCGTCGACCATGAGTTCCAGACATCTACACTGACTTCTGAACTTTAAGGGTTGCATGTATCGAAATACCGGGACTCTTTGTCCTCTTAATACGTCTCCACCAGCGCGCTTTATAATAAATAATTCTCTCTCCTTCTTGCTATTTTCTATCGTGACCTGTGATAATGCCCGTCGCTATTATGTGTGCTTGCTGATGTTAGAATATTAGGCGTGCTGCTGCATATCATCATAATCTAGGTACGTGATTAGTATGGAGACGTGCTTCCGCCCTCGCAGTTCCTACGTCCACCAATGCCCGTTCGCGTACAAGTCGTTCACGCCGCCACGAATTCCAAGCACGCCGGCTCTAGATGAATACCGCACAGCACAAGGACAGTATCGCAGTATCGCATAAGGTGCTTAGGGTGTTTGTCTATGCCGTCGTCCATGGCTAGTTCTGGAAGGTTGGTATTCGCCTTTGTGCTATAGAGGCCTGTGAAGCTTTAGGCTGCTCTTGTGTATATTCTGCGTTCTAAGTCTTTGCGGGCTGGGTATGGCGTGGCTGTATACCGTTTATGTATATGAGGAGGGAGAGAGATACGAGTATTATTTACCGTAAGGAGCAGACTTAAAGCTAAGAAATCACCTTCGCAAGCGCAATAGCCTTGAAGGTTTAAAGCATCACACAGTAAACCAAGGTCTTATGCAGAAAAAGAAACTTATAGCATTCCCCAAACTAAGTATTAGAATTCGCTCGCATTGCTCATGTCCAAAGTCGTCCAACCATCCCAATATCTGACAAAGAACTCATTCATCCCAAGAACCTTCCCGACCAGGCGCCGTGCTTCCAGATGTTCACTGCGGGGAGAGGCACTTCCTGCGGGGAGAGGCACTTCCTGCGGGGAGAGGGCCTTTCGCCCGCTCTTCTTCTCCTTGCCTTTGCCTTTTTCCTTCTCCCCCCACCGCAGTGCTATAACCCACAGAGCTCTCTCATCCCTTTTTCATCCCCGTCTTTACGTTAGTACAGCCCCAAGTCCGAGTGGTTCGGGGTTCTCAACAACACGTACCTGGGGGGAAATGAAAAGGTGGGGTTAATTGCGGTATCCGCACATCTCCTGCACCCTACGGAGAGCCTTCGTAAGGCCGGAAACCGGCTCTTCGCGCTTAGTCACCGCGCCGGTGAGGAGGTCTGGACGGCCGGGGGGAGGGAGGTGCAGGGTCGAGTAGTCGGGGGCGGGGCTATGTGTCTCTACGTCAGCACACGTCCTTCTACCGGGCACCTTCCTTCACAGAACCCAAAGCGATTACAACGTCCTAGTAGGTTTGGGGTAGGGATTGGTGTTGGAGTTGGGGTTGGAGACAAACATACCGCAGCGTCCCCTTCGCCAAACAGTCCTCAGCCACCCCGACAAACTTAGCCGGCGCGACAGGCATCGCGAGCATGATGCCGCAGGCGAACAGCTCGTGGTTGGTGTGCGGGGCGCGCAGGGGTTGACTCTTGCGGCCGTGGCGTGGCAGGCGGCCGTACGCGCCGCGGCGGTGGTTCGCGCGCGGGGTGAAGGGCGGGGAGACCACGCGGGAGGGCGCGCTGCTTACGGCTTGTTGGTCCGCATCGCGCAGGATCGTAAAGCATAGGGGGGCTTGTGGGGGCGCCATTGTGGGTGCTGAAGAGAGGGTGAGGGTGTTGTTGTGGGAGGGTTTGTGGGCGAGCTTTTGTGGGAGGGTTTGGCAGGCTGGCCTGCTGCCAAGCCGAGATGCTCTCTTTTTTAAATACTTCTCTTTCAGTCTCTCTCTTTCCCCTCCTCCACCACCCACTTCCTCACTCTCCCCTCAACCTCAACCTCAGCCGGCACCTCTCACCGAAGCCTTCAAGTAGGCTTGTTAATGGCCACCGCAGGACCGTCGGGTACGTCTACTTCATTCCCGCTATTTTATTTTCTCGGCTACTGACATCCCCAGGTCGCAAATGGCCTAAAGGGCCAAAAATCCAAGCTGCCCAGCTGTTGCAGCTGTTCCAGGCCCCCCAGGCCGTACAGGCCATTCTTCCCGCTCTTGAGCGGCCCTCCAGGCACCCTTTACAGGCCCGCCCCTCACCCGCCTGTCTACCCCAACAGGGCGGTCGCCATTTCCAACATCGCCGCCGAGATGGCCGTCAACCAGATGCAGGGTTGCCCCATCGGCAACTCTCGTGTCCGTCTGAGCTGGAACTGCTCTGGCCTTGCAGACACCCCTTACAGGCCCGACCCTCCCCCGCCTGTCTACTCCAACATGGACATGCCGCCCAACCCCTACGGCGGATGTGCTGTCTGTCACTGCCGACTGGAACAATGGAAGTGCTTGGTATGTCCTTGTCGCCCAAACATCGTGTTTGTGACTCGCAGCTGACTTGGTTGTTATAGGAATCGGTCAATCAGCGACTTTCTCGTGGTCAAATCTCGAGCACCCGATATTCTTTAGATGGTCACGTTCCCAAACACTGAAGTTCTCTCTTCGATGGTAGGTTCCTTCCTCACTCCAATCCATAAGGACACTTTCGCTGACACTGTTCTAGGACGCCGGTCGGACATGGTTCTGTCAAAACCTCATACAGATTGCCTCCGTACATAGCCAATTCAAGACCCAGTTCGCAAAGCTTGTCAAATGCCGCACGTACTTCGTGATTGCGTTTCATTGGCCCCTTGGCCAGCATCTTTTTGTTCGCAGTCCAGACCGCTTGTAACTCCACACTTGTAAACCTCGTCTCGCGCATCTTTCAAGGTTTGCTCAGCCGTCGCCCACGGAATCTCATCACACAAGCCTTTACAAAATGTTTCGTTTGGAGAGGAGCTGAGTGTGGGCATTTGGCAGATGGAGGGCATGTCCCGCGTAGTGAAATGCGACTTGCAACCATGTAACGAGGCAGTCGCCGGCCGAGCAGATAGTAAAGGATCAACCAAATCGTCAAAACATATGCATCACTGATTCAAATAAGTTATTTGGCTGGTCGGAGTGAGCCTATAGTAGGCGAAATCGAACGTTGCAATCTTCGGTCGCATGTTTGGTAGGTCCATTGCGTCGGGGACGTACAACGTCATGTTGTCACGGCCGAAGCCGCGCCCGAAGCCACCCAAACACCCAAGAATTTCGACAACCACAGCCACGACGGCCTCCATAGACCCCAATGGATAGAATTGTGCAATCTACTAGTCCAGAATCGTGCGTTGTGACAGTCGCCTCCTACAGCCTTCACCGTAGGTCTCTCCCATCAACTCGCAGCGCCCTCAAAACACCACCACCTCACCAGCCACCCCATCGACAGCCTCTCAAGCAAACCCACAGCCTCAGCGCGCCCCAGGCAGCTGTAACGCATCTTCTCTCAAGTGCTAATGCCCCCAATGCTTCAAGAAAATGCACGACACCAAGCCGCGCAGTCACTGACCGAGCACCCCTTCACGAACACCCGCCCGCACCCCCAGCACCGCGCAGGTACTTACGGCGTGCCATTCCCCTTCACTCCTCTCTTCACCTCCCCTCCGCCGCCGCTAGAGCGCGCACAGCACAGCCGCAGTTACGCACGCACTCACCCCCCGCACCCGATCAGGTGTAGTGCCAGCGGCCCGCTGGCGCAGCAACACAACACAGCACAGTCACGTCCCGCTGGCGCAGCAACACAACACAGCACAGTCACGTCCCGCTGCCGCAGCGCCTCCTCACCATCGTAGTAGGTTCCAGCGCCTTCCACAGTGTCGTCATCCGCACCCGAAACTGCGCACACGGACCACCTGCCCAGGTATATAAGTC